CTTAATATTTAATCTGATAATAGAAAATTATTTCTTCATTAATAGTTATTTCTAATGCCTGATTGTATACCTAGGTTACACCAGATTAGTTTACCTCACTGGTTGGCTGAGAAAAAATTTATTATGGCAAAAAAAATCAGGATTTCAAAATGCTCAGTGACTTCTACTCCAAGTGAAGATTAAATTAGACCCACTTGATCTAATTTGCTTTGAATTTTATGTAAAAAAATGAAAAATGCCTGACTTTGGGTTGCCATTCAAAAAAACTTCACAAATGTGTTCTCATTTTTTTCTCAGTATTGATCCAATTCCACAATTAAAGACATGACATCTACTTGTTATTTAACAAGTTTTATCTCTGTAGTGGCATCCCCCTGTTCAAGGCAAGATAATAGCACTACTTCTGTCACTTCAGTTAAGGCTGTGTCAATATTTTCATTAGAAGCCTGTATTTTACGGACTAAAACTGTACTGCAGCCAAGGAAATTCATGTAAGGTTAAAATTAAGACAGCAACATCTGAAATCCAGTGGAAAAGAAAGAAAGAAAGTGTGCTCATTCCTAAGCTTTGAGGAGAGAAGTTAATTATCCTGAGGCCTTTTTGTGTGTATCCTTCAAATCCAGCTCCCCTTCCACAGCTTCTGGCATTTTATAGCTTAGCACTCCATATCCCTCGCTGATGATACCTTAGCTGCAAGCAGAAGGTTGTAGAAACTGAATTAGTTTAATTTAAGCAACTAGCTGCTACATACACTCAAGGTCTGACTGCAGTTAGGAAATCCTTTATTTTTCATGTGTAATGACAATATATTTGTACAGGTACTCGGTATAAAAAAGTATAAAAGTTATTCTCTGCCATGTCAGCATTCTCCGATGAACACAATGAGCTGTAAATCTTGTGAATTTATGTATGTGCTTAGTGACTCAGGTTTTAAAGAAGAACATACTCTTCAAGATAGTGTACAAACTTAGGGTAAAGAAGGTGGAGAAATATGAACAGACCTCTGTGCCTCAAACAGGCAAAATTTTCTTTTATTTCAGCATCTGATTCAAGAACTGATCACAGCATGTGTGGTTTGAGGATTATTATAATTAAGATTGCGGAATCACACTGTATGTGAAGGAAAGTTGACTTTCTGGGGTGTGTCAGTTACTTTAAAAATCTCCATAATATTGTGCTCCTCTTTAAATTAGTATGTGTGGGTCAGGGTCACAGATTTTATAGTGACCGTCACATCTGAATTTTTGAAATTAATTTATATGCTAAGAAAGAAAACATAACAGAAAACCTCAAAACTTATGTATATTTATCCCCTATCTTATAGAGAGTTCATATCAACTCACAGGAAAACATGAAGAAAACAGAACTGCTTAGCAAATGCAGCAATCTGTTTAGAGAAAAAATTACATGAGCTGTAAGCAGATGAAAATACAGACCATTTGAATTGCATGAGAAGGAACGCTTAAGTACAGTGGATTTAATGATCACTTTGATGCTAATGGAAAATTCAGTCCTTGGTATGTTTAAATGTAGCTTATAAAAGTGCTACTATTTCTCCAAGGCTCAGACTTGTATTTTTTTATTCAACCCCTCTCTTTTGGTGAGAGGTGAAGAGTGGGAACACTAACATTTATCTTAACAAAGTCCTTCTCTAACTAAATTTCGAGTGAGCAGAAAAGTGAGTAGGACTACACAAGTATTATTTGTCTGTTCTCTAAGGAACAGGGTATCCTATATATGTCATTTTGGGACACAGGCCAAAAAGAAGATGCCAGAACTCTAAACAGTCAGGGCTTTGCAACAATATAATAAAATACAACAATAGGATAAAAAAAAGCACCCAGTGAGGAAAATAAAGTCCTGAACTTGTAGGTGATATAATCAGATCTTTGAAAACCCCAGTGTATTTAGTAGAGGATTTATTCTTTGACTGCTGGACCAACCCCAGTTAACTCTTCTGTTACACTCATCAATATTTATGGAGAGCTGCCAGCTCATAGTCTTACACAAAATACAGGACAAGACAGAGTCTCTGTCTTGTAATATCTTTCAAGAAAGAAAGAGATGGAAATTCTAGTATAAATTCCAGTATAAAGAGCAGGTGTTTACAATTTTAACTTCAGGAGAAGTAAATGCAGTCTTGTTTCTCTCCCTGGTTGCCTGACAGAGTCACGATTGCAGTTCCTTTGATGATTATTTTTTAAATTTGTTTTCAAAAGTGAGGTATTTGCAACTCTGACAGGTTGATTTTTATCAAGTTTCAGGTTTTATTCTCTAACACAAATTTATTTGTCCTTGTCTATTTTTTACTTTACTTTTTAATCTTATTCAGCCTTTTCAATCTTATGCTTAATAATTCCTATCCAACTTCTCAGCTACATATTTCTGGTTTTAATATATATGCCTTAAATTATTATAACTGGCTACAACTATATACGAAAGTTTCTATTTTAAAAATCAAGATGATTAATAAAGCTTTATAATTACACCTTATGTAATTAATGATGTGCAAGTTTGAACATGGTGAATACTATTTCCAAAGCAGATTAATCTGACCGAGCCTTCAAATCTAAAACCAGTTGAGTTATTACTGTGCTGCATCAACATTTATTGATTTTAAGGTACAGTGTTAGCATTCACTTATCACTGCATATTTTTCCCCATTCTACATTAAAAGAGCTTGCCCTCATCTGTCACAATCTTTTACTACATAAATCATATAAAACTGTTACCTGTTTCCATGATTTATTTCAATTTATGTTAATTATACAGAAACATAGGATTGTTTAATAAAAATGTTGAAGCTAATCTGCACTGGTCATCAATATTTCTTATGTATGTTACACAGTGGAATGTGTGATAAACCACAAGACCCAACATGTATGGAAGGGCATTTAAAGTGAATTGCTATTTAGACTCAAAGCTGAGACATATTTTAATTCTACAGAGGTCAAACAAAAGCTGGTATTTACATAGTATTTTTTATAAGTTAACAGTGTCTATTAATCACTAGAAAAATGAAGCATCTCATACCCAGTTTTCACAGTTCAGAAGTGTAAGATACACTGTAGCTTCTCAAAATTACTTTCTTAAGGCAACACTAGATTCCCAACAAAATGAGGCAAATATTAGAACCATCCTACTCAAGGTAAGACACTCAGTGGAAACTTGTGTTCTTCCAGCGAGGTTTTTTTTTGTCTGGGGAAGCGCAGCAGGATCAGGCTAGGACATATCTGACATTGAGACTTCAAAGACTTCTACTCATGCACTGCAAGAAGTCCTCTTGAAATCAAAGATGTTTTGTGAAATCAAAGGCTAGATCCTCTCTAAACAGTCCTCAGGGCCACTGATGAAATGATCTGTGACTTATTTACTGAGGGTATGTCTCAGGGCATACGAGGAAAATTTTTGCAGGATCAGAGCCTCAACTATTGCTTAGGATATCAGATCATTTCCTATATTCCTTTATATCATTACCTTTTTAAATTCAGCTGACTCCAGATGCTCTGGGTAAATCGAGGAATACAGTGATAACTTAAAAGTAATACACAGATGAGATGTAACACTTTCTTAAGGATGGAACATGCTTTAAAAAAAAAGATTTCATTTTTTCTAGTATTCTGCTTCAGGAGCAAGGACAACAAGCAAATGTATTTAGAGTTGTGAACCTATGTTACTCTTAAAGAAAAAGATCTCAGAATTGAACACCTTCTTATCTGCCAAATAATGGAAAGTAATTTTATTATTACAACAACTAAACTCTAGGGTGTCATTTTCCTAGAAATTCGAGTTGTTGAGGATTTTAGTGTTTGGAAACATTTTTCATCCTGCAGCAAGGATTAAAGACCTGGTAGACATAAAAGGTACAGAATCTGTGTGATAATCTGAAGGTATTTTGGAACATGTGTCATTGTTTAAAAAGTTTCTGCAGAATGTATTATCTTGGAAAGCAAGAGTTCACCAGTTTTTGTACCAGCTTATTAAGAAACTTCAAGTTTGCAATTAAATCTCTCTATTCAGATCAAACGAGAAGGGGTTTTAGCTAACTTTATGAGTCTTGCAGCATTTAAAATACTTATAAAAATAATAAATATATTTCATGAATTTTGTGCAGCTTTCTTAATGAGATTTAAGTTGCCTTCTGTTAAACAAGTCTATAACTGTTTTTTTAACCACAACGTAACTGGTAAGCATGTTTATTATATTCAGAAGCCAATATAATTTAGTTTTATCAGTTTTTGTGTTTGCATTGATATAATTTTCAAAAGCATTCTTTTCTTGCATGTTTCTGGTATTTAATGCTCTACTTGCTATTTAATTTATTTATGACATGAAAATAACCACTGCAGACTCTGAGCACCATGGCAGTATAATAAAACACAGTCTGTGGTTACTAAATAGAAATAACAAAGAAACAGCAACAGATTATTTAAAAACCAGCCATCCAGCTGAAAAGATAATAAGACTCTGACTCTTACTAACAGAAAAAAAAAGCAACTAAATAATAAGAAATCTCTTTTTTTATAATTTCATTTTTTTTCCCAGAAATCTCTTAACTTTTCCCTTTTCATAGCATTCTGGGCTTTAAATTATTAACAACTGACGTTTGTTCATGTCTGAGCTTTAAGCAAAACAGTGAGTGAAATAACTGAGCAACAGGCATAAGTGTTTTATTTTTTGAGAGTTTTTAAAAATAGGAGTTAGTTGGCCTAAGGCTAGAATTTTCATTACATCAATGAAAGAAAGAAAACAGAAGCCAGCAAAGGGGAGTTATAGAAACTGACTTTATATAAACAGTGAGAAAAATCTTTTTTCCATGGCCACCTACAACGGAGCTATTTTACCATTAGAATGATTTTTCTTTTACCAGTGGCACAGCAGCCCGGGTCCAATCCTGCCAGTTTAGAACAGGTTACCGGCTGGATAAGAGGTTTGCCCCTCACAAGATGAAGTTCACAAATTTGTCAAAGAGAGCAGAAACAAAAAATTTTTCCACATACCTAAATTGACAAAGCTCATGACCATGTCAGCATCATTCAGAAAGTTGGTGTCGTGCAGGCTGGCTAAGGGAGGATTCTGTGTGGTCAGGGGGGTCGTGCGAGATAATTGCATTCTCCGCGAATATCCATTTGGAGAGGCAGGGTATCCTTTCCGTATCCCTCTGCTCTCCCCTTCCAGTGATCCCTTTAGTGAATACTCCAGCTCCTCAGTATCCTCTTCACTTGTCATGGCATTATACAGGTCCAGCATGAAGAGGGGTGCAGAAGAAGCCTGCTTTCCTGGTGAAAATGGTCTGGGTCTGTGAGGTAAACCCAGGATAGAGAGAATCTCTCTCTGAATCTCCCTTCTCTCATGGTTCCGCAGCCTCCTGTAAATAAAACTCGAATGGACATGATTGTCTCCTAAACCTCCCTGTGCGTGACCCACCAGAACCCAGCAATTCCAGAGCAAGCCCACGAAAGCTTTGAGCGCAGTTAGGTTCATCTTTGAACAGAAAAAGAACAAGGAAAAAAAAAATCTTTTCTCCTACTTGTTCTGAGTTCCTATGAGGTCTGCTTTCCCAGTGGTTGAAGAACAAAATTTACCTATTCTTCATGTCAATGTCATCTCTAAATGTAACATCTTTGGTGATTCCTCTCCCCCCACCCTGTTTAAATATTATGGAATGTGTCAGGTTGCAGTTATTTCTAAGAAAGCTGAAATTCAGACTTCCAATTTTCCACTGTTGTTATCGTTTTTTCTGCATTTATGGAGCAGAAGACCAGTATTTTGTCAGCTGACCTAGGCATTCCTATATAAACCTTAGATAACCAGGTCTTTGGTGGGAAGCTGTATTAGCAAGAGCTGTTCTTCTGACACATTGTAGTTCCCAGAGTTATCTTCCCTCGTTATTCTGAGATCTTCGTACACCTTGCGCTCTTCCCAAGATAAAATCCTGAGTCACAGATTTGTCTTGATCTGTACCTTGGTGGTGTAACACATATCTGTCCAGCAGCCTGGCGATAACTTTAACATCTTTTGAATCGCTTGAGTGTAAAGTAATTCTAAAGCATGTACTAATCAAATTAATGTGTTGCCATGAATTTACTTGCAAAAAAAACCCTTCTGTAAATCCATTCAACCCTTGGCAGCTTCTGAACTGTTATTTCCAACTCTAGCAGGCACAAATATAACTGCTCTCTTCAAGAGAGATCTAAAGACTAATGTAAGCACAACCCTGCTGGGAAAGAAGAGGCTTCTCATTGTAATTTGAAACGGGTATAGCAAAAAAGTCCTTAACCCTTCTGTTGCCAGACAGAGCTTGAAACCTCTCCCCCCCCACCGATTTACAGTGGTATACCTGATTTTGACTATCGGTTGTGTTTTTCCTAACAGCTTGCAGAATCAATTTTAACTTGAACAATTTTAGGACATATAGATAGCTAAAGGCTTGTTGTAATGTGGAAGATCTTGTGAGTCCCTGGTTTAGTAAACTGGAATAGAAAACTCAAAACAGACCAAAATAGCATCTCATTAATTCAATAAATGTTTATATTTTAGGTAAGTTTAGCAAACAAAGGTGACCTTTTTAATAAACTCTGTAGGAAATTTTGTCAGTGAGGCTTGATTCACTCTTTACTAAAAATGTCGGGAATGCAATCCGAATGAAAACAAATTTATTCAGCAAGCAAGATTTCAAGTTTTGCATAGCCAATAGTGTAATTATGGTTATAGTCACAACTTTCATAAACTGTAATTTGCAATGATAATTTATTCAAAGTACGTTTTGACTCATAAATTGCTATACTACTTTTCCCAGTAAATATCAAAAGCAAAGATTTAATCTCACAACCTATTATTAACTGGAGAAAGAAACAGCTTAACTGAAGAAATAAGAAATATTAAATAGATTTTAAAGCTGCTTCTGCTGAAGTTAAAGTTCAGGTTAGAATTGTATGACAACCAGCAACTGGTGTTAAATCGCAGTGTTAAATTTCATTTTGCTCAGATTATTTGGGGTCATTTTCCTCACTCCTCTAATCTGCCTTGAGTCTTTAGGAGACTTTTCTTTGATGAAGGGAAAAAAAAAGAACAAAAAAGGTTAATACATGACATTGAGGAAAAAACCAGGTATATAAAATGCATCCCATCTAGTTTTCCCTTACATGACTAGCACCTACTCAGCGAATCACACAGTTCTTGAGTAAACTTGGGAGTGTGACAGCAAGTATAGTCACACCCTACGAAGCCAGGAACAATTTATCTAGTATATTGAGCACAAATGAGCTTTTCTCATGTATTGTGAGTCCGAGTCTACATTTACAGTCTAGTCCAGCTCTCATCAAAATGTAGCTGATTGTCTCTCATAAATCAGCACACGTAACAGACAATACTTCCACCAAGGAAGGATTTATCTCATACTAGACCTGCTGAATTAATATCAGAATTAATTATGAAGCTATTTAGCAAAAGTCTAGCAGAAGAGCAGTCAGAATCAGAACATCAAACTCTATTCACTATAAGAAAAGTATTATTTCTTGTTTTTGTTTTGCTTTCACTTGTCCCTCTCAGACAGTTGTGATGATACATGAGATCTTACCACACATATGTGTTTTCTGAATTTGGCCATCACGCATATCTGCAACAAGGTTTATTTCTCTTTTCCAGCAATTTTTTTTTCCCTAAGCATTCATAAAAGCCAGTGGGTTCATTACTCACAGGATTTAAGTCTTCGGCTCATCAGTACATCCAGCGATAGAATCTTCCTATATTGTGTTTGGACGTCCACATTTAGTTAATCTTTTCCCACTTAAAAAGCCAAAAATACCCTCAAGTTTGGGGATACTTTTATGTTGTAAACATTTTTTCCAGACAGAAACTGAGTAAGAAAACATATAAACTAGTTATCATATGTTTGACAAAAACAGCTCCTGTTATTTACAGATGGAGCCACAGCCAAACATGTAAACTAAATACAAAGGATTTATTTTACATTAACCCACCCTACACTGAGGCACTGAACATTCTTGACTGAACATGAAAACAAAAATATTTTTTATTAATATAAACACAATGTCCTTTTGTAATAAACCTGTGCTTCATAAACAATCATTGTTAACATGGATAGAGATATAGCCAGTGGGAGATACAGGCAGCCCTAACAATGAAAACTTTTGCTAAAGAAATTAAAAGAATCTGCAATAGCTCATGGGTCCCATTTCATATTCCAGATATGAACCAATTTATTTCTAAAGAAAAATAGCACATTAAATTTCAGCTTGTGAAGATATTTTATTTGATAATGCATACAAATAGATTGGCACAGGTATCAGGGTGTAGTTTAGGTTAGGGTTCAGTTTCAAAGTCACCTTAGAACTAGGTTTCAAGTTTTACAACAAAAAATTATTCTGAGCTGTTTGCATAATATAGAAACTTAAAAGAAGTGCCACATTCATGCCATTTTTAGATGCACTCAAATCTAAATACACTTGAGGTCAGTGTAAAACATTGACCCAAAATCAAACCCAGGGATTTGAGCAGTGCCCCAGAGATTCCACTTTTACCCTGTGTCTAAAACTGAAATTCGAAACATAAAACCTGTACACTGATAGCCCTTTCTTCCCCAGATGTTCAACCTGGCAGCAGCATAAGAAATCACCTGACCTGTCCTTTAAAAATAAAAAGAAAACTAAAATTGCTCCAGAAGTGAGGTGCCATTAGGGACAGATACCTGACAGAGGAGGTTGTAACCAGTGGAGCACCTGGCCAGCCAGGTCTCAGAGGTGGGAGAGCAACAGAGCACCATGGGGGCACCCCCGGCAGTGTGAGAAATGAAGCAGCCGCATGAGTTTCTTAAACAACATGGCGCATATGTATGTGATGAGTGAATTCAGAGCTCATTACATTCATACTAACCTAAACAACATTTGAGCAAATATAATGAGGGAAGTAATGAAACCCAGGTATCCAGATCTCACCAATCTTGGATTACAATAGATCATAACAATGGATCAACGGTGAAAAAAATTGTAACTCCCCAGTAGGTCACTGCAATCATTGAAGGTGCAATTATTTTTATGGGTTATGCTCACTATTCAAAAATATATGAAATCAGCGGATGACTGCTGAATGCAGAATCCCTCTGGGTTCTCAGTATCACATCCACTGAGAGTGATTTCCTGTCTGACAAAAGAGATGAAAATGCAAACCCTCTCCAAGATACTTGCAGTCTCGATCTGAAACCTATGCACACATGCAGAATGATTCT